AAGCCAAAAGTGGTGCATGCCAACAGGCTTTGGCGTTATCAAGGTCCAGGACATTTCAGTTGGGACGAAGTGGAAAACAGAACAAATGACGCTGCCGAAGACGTGCCACCTGACGAAGCCACCATCGAAGAAAAAACTCTACTCAGTTTTGAGGAAGGGAAACGGTGAAGCTCTTGGTGAAGTTACTACCACTGATGTGACTGTTACCGATGATGGGCCATTTACTGATGAAGCAGATGAACCCCACATGAAGCAGAAGCCAACAAGACGGAGACCAGTATGGAAGAAGATACGTCCCGTAAAATTAAGAGACTTTGTCGAATTGTAATTTTGTGTTTGTAATTCTGTACAGTTAATTAAGTTATTGTTAATTTTTATTGGTTTATCATATGTGGTTATTGTTCGGGACGAACAATATTAAGGAGGGGCAGGTGTTGCGTCAGCGAGTCACATGACTACTATGACGCAACGCTTCTACAACTATCATGTACTTTGGCGAATGTTCAAGTTCTTACTAGATATAGGGTAGGCGGATATATATAAGAGGGGACAACGTGACGCGGGAAGAGATAGATAGAATAAACCAGTTTTATTAAGTAAAGGCTTGTGTCGCTTAAGTTTCGTCGGAATGAAGTTACGGAAAATCAATTAAAAAAACGGAGACGTAACAGTATGATGATAACATCATTTATACCAGAATTATGATGTTTTATTAGCTTATGTTAAATACAGAAGAAACAAATAGACTTTTCAATTCCACTACATCCTTTGCAGTACCTTACTTAGTACTCTACAAAAGCAGTGGGTGTAATATACTAAGCCATTTTTGTTGTAGGGTTGCAAGAGAATAATAACAATAAAAACTACAAATGGGGCATTTTGAGCAATTTTTTTTCCTTGCAAGTCTAACATGCATGCCTATTTTTGTGCATTTTATGTGTGTACAACCTTAGTAGTCAATAGTAAAGGTTTTAAAGTGTTGTTTGAACTGAATCTTAAGTGTTTAGGATGCTTTTTGCCCAAACGTTCTATTAGGATTTTGTGCAATCCCTTGCCATCCCTATTATGAACCACTACCATATTTCATGATTATGCAGTTTGGTCTGTTTTCAATTTTGAGCAAAGCTACATGAGAGCCACCTGCATTAGCCATCCCTAATTTAGCAGTAAAAGACTAGAGGGCAGGCAGCTAGTCAACACCACCCACTGCCAACACTTGGGCTACTCTTTTACCAATGAATAGTGGGATTGACCTTTACATTATAACATCCCCACTGCTGCTAAAAGGGCAAATATTTGTTGGGATGGGGGTTTGAATCCACAACCCACAGATTGTGAGTTGAGCACCCTAACCATCTGATTATGCAAAGAAAAATATTACTAGTAAAAACTAAACAAACACTTAAAAAATAGGAATTGAACCACAAAAATTACTAAGTATTTAGGTGATCCTTTATATTATTTTAATAACTATTTCAACTTAGAATAAGTAGTTTGCTCTCTTGTTATTTGCTACTATTTTATACCATTATTTAAACGTTGTTGTTTTTTAACCTCGTAAAACCTGATAATGCTTGACTGATATGGTAGAACAATGTATTTTATCTGAAGGGATATATGTTATTGGAATTCTGAATTAATGTTAACTTTATTTTCTCCTGCTGGTGATTTCACATTTGTCAACTACATTCATTCATCTAGCATACAAAATTAATTCAGTATTCAATGGTTTGTGGAACAGCAATACTATATAAGCATTTAAATTTTCATTAGTAGCATGATATAAAATACTCTTGTTTGTTAATTGAACAAGTCCTGACAATGCTATACAATAAAGTGCATGTAAAAAGATAAAAATAAAATTTACCTCTGTTGAAAGGAGAATAGATCTGCAAGAATTTCCACAGATCATGCATCTGTCTCTCACACCTGTAATTGGAATTGCAACAATTCACCATGGATGAAATAGAAATAATATATAAATGAAACTGTGAAAAGATGATATGTTTTCATCCCCTTTATTTTAATTTCTAACATGTTCTAGCTAAAATTTGTTTAAATATCTTTCTAAAGGACAACTTAATAAACTACTGTATGTTACTGGATCATCAAACAAGACAATTAGAAACTGCAAATACTGACCCTACATCAAGTGTCCTTTCTGCTCTTTATATCCCAAAACATACATAATATGTTATACAGACATATAATTACCATTAATTTTTCCCATGAAACTTTTTATTAAGCTTATACTGATAACATAATTTATGCTAACATTGCATCATCTTACTTTTGTTTTTACTCAAAAATATTTACATACATCTGGAAAGACAGTCACTGCAATAAATGTGCCCACAATTCGTCAGAGAAAAGTTTTTGCCACTTCTAGGAAGATTATAGCAGGAGTTACAGTGAATCCAGTCTGTCATGTTCGGGTTCTACTAAAGACCTGAGGTATCCAACTAAAAATCATAATTATTAAAAAAGTTACTTAAGTTATTCATGACCAACTCAATTCCTTTTTTGATAATTTGACACAAGCAAGAAACATAGAAAATTACCATAATTTTATTCCTTATTAAGAAGAAAAACAAGATACTACAAAATAAAATCAAAGTGAGACAGTTTACAATAAAATAAATAAGCATATAACAATTTGATTAAGATAAAAAATCAAACTGCATAGCCTAAATACAGATGTATATAAAGAGTTGAATTTCAGCTGTGTCACATTTGCAATTGTGCAAAATATTTTCAGCAAGAATCTTGAATAAATATATCTGGCATATTTAGAAACTGATGTGTCAAAAAGTTAATTATTAGATGTTTTACTAACATTTTCAATAGTTATGTTAAATGATTATGTTGGGTTTATAGTAAACAGAACATGGTCCCAGTCAGTAAAGTGTAGTATAAAAGTATTACAGCTCTAAACCTTACATAATTTAAAATAATTATATTTGAATATGTGCAGGAATATTTTTCAAACTTCTAACACAAATACCTGTGTTTTGTTACATGTCCTATGTGGATAGAATGTGTCCAACCTTGGTTTGAGCTACTCCCATTATTAATTTTGTTCACACAGCAGGAAATCTGTCCAAGAACTAAGTATCTTTTCTTGTGGCATCTGCATATATTAAATTGAAGAGCTAGCCTCAAATAACTTGGTGATTCCTTGGTAAAATGCGAAAGTTGGATAACCTGCGTCTCCATTTCTACCAATGGGACTAATAACATTTTGTGAATTGCTTGATATGATGGGAGTACTGGTGAAGTTTGGAACTATACATAATACAAAACAACACTTTCCAGTTGTTGTGTCTTTGTTACTGTAAACTGTGAAGTTTAAGTGACATGAGCCCTTTTTTCCTTCTTTGGAAATACACAGAACTCAGCCAAGTCGAAAGAAATAACATTTCATGTGTCATTTATTTTTTGTTCTTTCAGTAGAAATAAGAGTGCAAGTTTTGTGTACAGCCACAGTTTTGTTTGTTATTGTTTTACTTATTCACACTTTACTTAAAAGTGTGCTATTGTTAATTATATTTAGTAGTTAGATGTGTTTTACTGTAAATACACAAATGCTTATAAGTACATTTAAGGTTTGTGTATTGGTAAGCTGTATAGCTCTTAGGAGCAAATGAGTATTTTTTGCTTTTTTTTTATATTTAGTATCATAAGTCACTACACAAGAAAACTTAAATTTATAATGATTAAAATTATCATTAATTGGCTACCCTCACTGTTAATGTTTTTGGTCATAATCCCAATAATATCTTATAGAGATCAGTCAGCATAAAATATGTAGGTTATGGCAAAAATCATATACTAAGTTAACAGTGTTTTCATGTTACTGGCAGATTTACTTGCTCATTTAGAAGCTATGACAACTCCTTTATGAATGTAAGATGCAGCTTGTCTGTCATGCCAATGTCTATTAATATGATTCTTTTAATATAATTTTTACAATTTTGAAAGCAGAAAGTATTATTACTGATAAGCTACACAGCATTTTTCTTTTCTTTTATGTAACTTGTAAATACAAAATATGAATTTTTGTCTGTTTTGTTGTTGTTAAGCACAAAACTGCACAGGGTGTTATCTCTGCCATGCTCACCACCATAATTAAACTCTAAATTTTAACATTAATAACCCCCAAACATTCCACTGAGCTATCCTGGAACCACTATTTATATAACACATATACATATAATATATCTCAAGGATGATGGAGCATATGGATATGAAATTTGCTGGCTTTAAAAAATTCCTGTACCTGAGCCTTGTGTCTACACCCTAACCCTTAAATTACCAACTTGTTTATATATCATTTACTATTAATGGGATTTACATACTACATCTTGTTGAATAATGTATGTTTTTACCTGAAAAACACTCAGAGTAAAAAAACAACAAAAAACATGGGTGAAATCAGTCATTTTGTATGTAAAATACAATGGAAATCCCAGCAGTAATTACTAGGATTAACTGTAGTTTTCAAAGGATTTCTGCTTAGTGTTTTTTGTGAGATTCATATGTTATTAGAGATCCCATACCAACAAAGTCATGGGCTCACTAGCATGTTAATGCATAAGAAGTTTAAAAAAATTTTTGTTTGTTGTTAAGTACAAAGCTACACAATGGGCTACTTGGGCTGTGTCAACCACAGATAGAAATCTGATTTTTAGCATTATAAAGTGCTCAAACTTATTGCTGAGCCACTAGGGGCAAAAATGCTGTAAAAATGTGAGAAGACTCAATTAGTAATTCTGGTACCAAGTGAGCTTAAATGTTTGGTATATCAATTTACTATGCATTTCTAGTTTATAGCGTTCTTGGTTAGACACCTGTCTCACTGAATACAAACCAGATCTATAAGTAAAGTATTTTGATGATACATTTTTACTCTTTTGAAGCCCTAATCACAGCAAACAATTCTTGGATTATTTAAATTTGAAACACCCTAACATTAATTTTACTTGTAAAACTGAAAAAATTAGTAAATTGCCTTTTCTTGATATCCAAATTAACAGATTAGATAACCAGTTTACAAAATCTGTTTATCGTAAGAAAACATATACAGGCTTACATACTTGTTTTGACAGTTTTATTCTGGCCTCCTTTAAATATAATCTTATACTCAGTCTTATCAACAGAACATATAACATCTGTTCTGACTACCTCTCTCTCTTCATACCAAAATCACCACCTAACAGAACATTCTAATAAGCAACTGCTATCCCTTGCATTTTATTCAAGCCCTAACACGCAAGTTGCTTTCTCACAAATTTCAACACCAAAAGAAACCATATACTGTTGACAAATATCCATTAAGACCACTCATTCCTTTTTTTAGGTAAGCAAAGTTTCATAGTAAAGTCACAAATTTTAAGAATAATTAAAACATTTTATCCACAAGTTCAACTACATATTATATTTAAATCACCTTTCAAAATACAAAACCTATTTTGATCTAAAGACCTATTGCCTACCCGTACGAGTTGCAGGATTGTTTATAAATACACATATGGTGGCTGTAATGCCACTGACATTGACAAAACTATATGCCAATTACACCTGCAAACCTATTGGAGTATCAAGCAGAACTGGTAAAAATCTATCAAATCCACTAAATTTCACAAATCACACACATAATGAAAACAACAACCACCCCATCTTGATTACGAATTTTAAAGTTATCTCATCTGGATCATCATCTCATCTCTTTTAATTAAAGAAAGTTTATGTAGTATAAATTAACTCCCAACTTTAAATAATAACACAGCTTCACAACAATTAAGTCTGTATTGAATAATCTGTATAACATTGTTACAATTGTTTCATTACCCTATTCTTTCTTGTTTATTTTTTAATGTACTTCATCCTTTTATTCTGTATTTTAATTACTCTTTATAAAATGTTCGAACTTTATAAATTTTTGTACCTAATATTTTACCCTGTTCAATATAGCTTGCCGAAGATGGAATATGTATGATTTCCCAAAACGTTCATGAATTAAATGTTTTTTACTGTACACACAAGTCAAATGTTAAGGTTGTTCTACTGTTCATCATTATAGTATCTATTTTGTACATGTTCAGGTTTCACATAACTCATGGTCATGGTCAAGTAAGCTGTTAAGCTGATTTCATTCTAACTGCCTTTATTATTCTAAAATAAATAATACCTGTTCCGCCTAGGGAGGGGATATTGCTACAAAACTGCATGCTGTATCCTTAAATTGTAGTTCAGGTGGTATCTACAGATTTCCTCACATGTGTTCGAATGAGAATACCTAGTTACATGAGTATGGTCACTCTGAATAAATACAATGTTTCTTGCAAACTAGGGAACACTGGATTCAGTTTGAACAGTTAAATATAGAGGATCCTGTAGAAGCAATGTGTAAATAAAAGCAACTACACATGCTGTGTTTGTGCTTTACATCATTTATAATGAATTATTTGATGTTTCATTTATTATCATGACTCAGTTACTCAGAGATTTAGCATTACTTCAAAATCATTATCTTTACCACTTTTTTGTTATTAAGCAGCCAATCCAATGCTCTATAGTTAATTAAATTATACATGGATATAACATACATGTAACTTAGTGACAACTGTAGTGAAAGAATAACAACATTTAAAATTTGCATTTTTATGCATATACTGAGTAATCCTTTACACAAACATAGAATAACATAAAAAAAACAATATGGGACTGCTTTTAACTATAATTTTAGATTAAAATTATATAGTTGAATGTTTGTATGTGTAATTGGCAATGTTAAAAAAATAAAAATATCAGTTCTAAATAACACTCTATCATCAGTAGGGTTTTTGTTTACAAGTTGTATTATAAAAATTGTTGATGAATGGATTACCAGAACAGTTATTAACTAGAGGTAAATAGTTATTAATTGGCTTTAATTTCATCAAAACTGAAATGAAACTATTTGTATAAAAAAAAATTCATTTTTAATATTAATGTCAGAGGGTTGAAAGTGACCTACGGGCAGTGATCATTTACACATTGTATCGAGGAAGATTAGCTGTGGTCAATGCCACCTGCCCCGAGTGCCATGGTGGAAGTTGGAGCAGGCTGACTGGCTCTCCTTCACTGCTCTCTCAGAACTTGATCCTGCTGTCATTAATCTACCATCTATTAACAACTGCATGGAGGCAGTAGCTGTTCATTCTATCCCCAAAACCTTGACATGTTTCCCACAGTATCCTTGTCCGTGGAAGGCATGAAAGGCTCAGAAAAGGGCCTGGGATACCTTTCACTCTTTCTCCCACCTTCTTGGTCATCAAGTCTTGGTTTGAGAGATCATCCCTTTCCTTTCAAGCAGATTGTCTCTATGAATATAATCGTCCATTTACACTGGTGGAACTTCAGCGCGCTCTTCATTGGTCTGGCAGTACATCAGTCAGACCTGAGATGCTGTGCCATCTCT